ATATTCATTCATCATGCAATGATGTCATGGACTCGACTCATCAATGTATGCATGTGGCGTCAGTCACGTGTCTCATAATCACATATCACGTGGTATGTTGCCGAAGCAACATACTTGGAGTAGTCTAGGAGTACATGTTGGCTCAACCGTGCGCTCTCAACTAGAAGGATGTGTATTGTTAGGGTCTCGTCGGGATAGCGAAACCGCGCAAGATACGTCCCATGCATACAAATGGGCAGAATTGGGCCTTCCAAACCACACTATCCCCTAGGACTCCTCCAAGATGTTTCACACTTGGAGGGCCTTCCCTAACGATGTACTCCATATCATACCCCGTCACATAAATGCATATGATGCATGTCACACATTCTCAAACTCATGGACTCATCACTTTACTTGTCATGGAATTTCATGTCTTATCTCATTTCATCACGTTTCACATTCTCATAGTCATAATGTTCACAATAGCACGCCATTCACATCATGTCTCATGTCATTTGTTCACATTTCTCATAGTCATACTCATAATTGTTCCTCATAGGGTTTCGCACAAGAATCCACAGTGCACTCTAATTCATATCAAAACTTATCTAATTTTGAAATGAAACACATATTGACACTCAAGATCACACAAGGAATGCCACAAAACATTCAGAAAGCAAAATAGAAAACTTTCATATTTTGTTTGTTCCTAGAAGCATGCATCAGGCAAGGGATTGGGGGTCAATCCTACTACCCAACAATTATTCTCACACCCTCGAGCGAGGTTTCTCACTCCCCCCTTACCTGGATAAGTAGAAGATGAAGTTAGAGCAGAATCTGGTTGATCTCCTTCTCTTAGTTCTCCTTGATCTTCAAAGAGTGTGTCAAGGAGCAATGCCTGAGTATGTTATTTATAGACGTCAGAAGTGGCCAAAACGGCCCATTTCGGATCTAGAACGGCCCGTACGGGATTCATTCGTCATGTGTTAAATTCACATCTAGAACGGCCTATTCTTAAACCGAAACGGCCCGTTCTGGAGTTGAGTTTTAACTCATAACAGCCATGTTTAGAATGGTCCATTCCTAACTAGGATTTATAGGCCTTTTTAGTAGTTTGAAACGGCACGTTCTAGTTTGTGAACGGCCCGTTCTAGGTTACTAAATCACCTTTAATGGGCTTTGAGCCTTCATATAATTTATAAAAATCGAAGTGTTACAAGCAACAAAAGCATGTCGTTGAAAGCTTATCCATGAGTTCATAATAAACAGTGTAAGGTGGTTGTGTCCTCTCTCACCTTGCTCACGTTACACAAACATTTGGAGCTGAATGCGGTGGCTCATTATCATTTTCGTGGTTCATTCATGCATCACAATAATAGGGTAAAAAAAAAAAAAAGAATGGGTACAACAACATCACCGATCATAATCAACACCCCTTACATATTGCCACTTGGCTAACATAAAATGACCCATTCACAGATCAAAATCCACTTGCAATGCAAGTGATAATTGATTATTGTTCCTTTTCTTCAACTATATCATATATATATATAGATCGGA